CACACACACACACACACATACACACACCCTCTAATTGGAGGCTGGCCCGTGTCACCAGGTCTGCACAAGTGCAGCCAGCCAACAGTCACCACATAGCATTGTGTCCTCTGACTGATCCCAAAACCCGTCCAGAGTGGGTGCCAGGTGGCCCGGGAGTGCTCATGTCCCCAAAGGCTGGTCAAGCTTTCACTGTGAGATCAGTAGACAAAGCCCTCCCCCTGCCGTGTCCACTGCGTCTGTGTTGTCGGGATAGATTATGGGCCAACTCCACGTCAATGCTCTCCTAGGAAGCCTGTCTGAGGGGGGAGGCAAAGGCCCACCCTGGGAGTCCCATGCTGGACAGGACAGGGACCCGGTGGCTGTGGCCATACTTGGAGCCCTTGTCTTACAGGAGCGGGATGGAATTCGGGCGGCAGCCATGAGGCTCTTCGGGGACCTGGTGGCCACCATGGAGGGAAAAGAGCTGGGCAGCTTTCGAGTCAGGGTGTACCAGGGGTTGGTGCCCCTGCTCCTGCATTTGAAGGACCACTGCCCAGCCGTCGCCACGGTCAGTGCCCTCGCTGACAAGGCAGGCTGGCAGCCTCTGTGGGGCGGGGGCCTGGTGACTGAGCAGGGGCTGCGGGTGCTGGGGGCCAGGGGCCAGGGACACTAGTGGAACAGGGCCGGGGCTGGAGGTGATCAGGGACCAGGGGTCAGGGGCCAGTGGACACAGGCACTAATGGAGCAGGGCCTGTGATTGCAGGTGCTTGGGGACTAGGTAGCTCTGGCCCCTGGCACTGGGCACTGGGGGAGGGCACCATTTGACCCCTCTGCACCCCCACAGCAGGCCAAGTTCACCTTCTACCGCTGTGCCAGGCTCCTGCAATGGCGGCTTCAGCACACACTCTTCTGCTCACTGGCCTGGGAGTGCAGCCTCAGTTCTCAGCACTTCCTCTGGAAATGCCTGGTGAGGTCCAGGGTTGGGGAGTGACAAGGGTCCCCAGTTCCTCACATCTGGAGCTAATGAGGCCCTGAGGTAGGGGGCAGTCAGAGTACCCAGGTTCCTCAAGTGAGGCCCAGAGTGGAGGGCAGCTGGGACCCCCAGGTTCCTCACATGTGGAGCTGGCTGGTGGATCCGAGGTGGAGACACAGTCGGGGTCTGGGATCCTCCTCCTCCTCACTCACAGCCCCTCTGGCAGCCCTGTGGGGAAGGGCAGCGAGCGACCCTCTCTAGCTCCAAGAGTGACAGGTGTGTCCCTCCGCCAGATGACCCACAGCCAGGAAGAAGACAGCATCCACCTGGCCCAGGCCCTCAGTTACCTGCACAGTCAGCGCCCCACCAGGACCTGGGCTGCCCTCTTCATAGGTGGGCAGATGGGCAGCTCAGAGCCCAGGGAGCCCTGCATGGAGCTGCCCTGCCGCACCCCCCAGCACCCTGCACCTCAATGAGGGATGGAGAGGGGGTCTCAGCTGAGGAGGGGAGGAATGGATACAAGTTCTCCATGGGGAACGCCACCCACCAGCAGGAGCCCCTGATCAGTAAGTTCCCACCCACGACTGTCCCTTGTGTCTGCAGGTTACACCATCTGCTACCAAAGCCAGGCCCTGTTCCACATGTTGTCCGACGATGACACAAAACTGCTCTTCCACAGTAAGCATCTCCCACTTCACGCAACCCCAGGGCTCTCATTTCATAGATTGTGAGACTGAGGCCTCAGAAGAATGTCCCTCCCCCAGTATCAGGTTCCGGATGAGGCCCAGGCCTCCAGAGCAGAGTCCAGCCCCCAGGTCTGCAGGGCGAAGCCCCCTTCCCCTCCCAACCTCATTGTGGTACCCTGGAAATGGACTGACACCTACTCTGCTGGCTTCACAAGACTGCCACAAAACAAGGCTGCAGGTGGCTCCCTGGGAGCCCTGCTGGCACAGTGGTCTAGGCTTTGGACTGGTGACCAAACAATAGGCAGTTCAAAGCACCCCCCACCGCCATCCCCCTGCAATGAGAAGGAAATATAGGTGCTGCTACAGAGAGCGAGGGCAGCTTGACCTGTCCGACCAGTCCAAATCCACCTCACTGCAGAGGATGGATGGGGTACACCAACCTTAACAAACAGAAGTGGGGTGACCTGTACAAGGAGGGAAGCACCCCAGACCTGAAAGGACAAGACTTGGGGTCCCCACACCCCACCAGCATGTAGCTGGACAATCGATGTTCCTGGCAGGCTTTGGGGTGGGAGTTCCCATCGGGAGGGCAGAGTGCAGGCAGCTCGGGTCTCTAACTAGCATCTCCTTTTGAGCTTTTCAAGATGTCAAGGAGGACCCGGAGCCAAGCACCAGGAGTTTGCAGCCAGGCAGTTCCTAAACCTGCAGAGAGCAGTGGCCCGGCCAGAGCACTGACCCCCTTCCCCACCTCACTCGCCTCTCGCCCCACTCCTCTCCCCCAGAGTTTGTGCACACAGCGTTTTTGCATAAGAAAGATCTAGATTCAACAAAGAAGTGTCCCACCTGTTAGCTCCCTGCCCATCACTGGAGGACCCAGGGCAGAACAGGGGACCAGGACCAGGCCTGCACGGAGGTGATGGGGGTGTCAGGCCAGGACCTGTGAAGTCTCATTGGAGCCAGAAAGAGTGGACCTGCCCCTCCCAGAGCCCAGGTTTGTCACCATGTCCCCTCCTGGGGGCTTCCTAGCTAGGCAGTGTGGGCACTAAGATGCCCACGTATGTCTCTGTCTTGGGGAGCTCAGCAGTTGCCGAGAGCATGGTCAGCCTCCCTCAGACCAGGGCCCCCACATCTCCCCACCCCTGCCCGATGGGCCCCTATAGGACCAGAGCTAAGTTACACTGCCCAGGGGAGCCCATGTCCCCTGCCTGAGGCCTGGGCTCTGAGCCTCGGCTGTTCCATCTGTAAAATGGGGTGGTGAGCCCTTGCTTCTGTGTCCCAAGGAGTGCCCTGCCCCCTGCCCACGCATGTTCTGGGATTACAGTGAGATCGTTCTTTGTCAGCCTTGGTATCTCCACTTGTGAAATGGGCAGATGGCCCTTCCTTGGCCTGCAAGACCCTGCTTCCTGCCAGAGTTCTTCCCAGGCCTTCATCCCAGGCCAGACCCTCAGCCTCTGCTCCTCGTCCTCCTGGGCCCCCAGCATACAGATGAAGCTACGACAAAGTGGTCTACCCCAACCCCACCCAAGAAGGCCCCTCCTCCCAGAGCCCTGCCCCATCCTCACCCACTTGGCACCCCACACCTCCCAAACTTCTTGGTTCTGCCAGGGGGATCCCTCAGCCCACTCTGAGCCACCTGGGCTGAGTCTCTCACCCTTTCCTAGACTGTGAGCCCCAGGGCAGGGCACCGAGCACGGGGTGAGGTGGTGGAGACAATACAGTGGTATCTGCACACACGGGTCTCGAGTTTATTTGGGCTGAGATCCATGCTCAGGGCTGAGGTGGAGGCCGCCCTAGTGAAGAGACTCAGCTCAGAGCCAGTGGCCCTGCACCAGGCAGTCCATGCCCCAGGGGCCCCACCTGGGCTCTGTCCATTTCCTTCTCCAGTGGAGCCGCCCGGCCGAGGCTTTCTGGATAACGCTGACATCCTGACTCCCCATCTTACCCACTAGACTCCTGGGGTGTCCACTACCGATTCCTCCTCAACACGTCCACCCTGTGATGGGGACAGAAGTAGGCCCCTCAGTGTAGCCTCAGGCATGCTGAAGCCAAAACCAGGGTGATCTGGGAGGAGGGGAGTGACCACTGTCTCTTGGGAGCTCACGGGGCCAGCACACCTCAGAGCCTTCCCACACTGGCAGGTGCAAGGCCAGACCACTGCTGCAGACTGGGGTCCAGGAAAAGCTCAGGTCCCACCATCATCACCACCTTCTCCCGCCTTGAGAAGGCCCTCCCTGCCCAGCGATCCAGCACACGCCCCAGCAAGTGCCACTCAGAACCAAGGATGCCTCACTTGGGCTGTGCCCTCATCTGAGGATGGGACATGACCCTCCAGTGCCCACCATCCCTTTAACTCAGTGTCCCAGTGCAGGCCAGGCAGGGAAGAGGAATGAACTGGGACTTGTCAGGCAGACCCAGGAGAGGGTCCAGGGGCATGAGAGGAGCTGGACGCATGGACCCTTCAACAGACACTGGTGGGCTCCAGAAACCAGAAAAGAGGGTCAGCTGTGGCCTTGGGAGGTCTCCAAAGGCTTCCAGGTGGGGATAGCCACACTTCTGGAGCCCACACCTCCTTCCTGTGTGCCGCTTCACCCTCGGCCCGCCCTCTCTGGGGTTAGTGGCCAACTGTCTCCTCCTCACGATATCCTTGCTCCCTGGGACCCAGCTCTCTGGGCTTCCAAGGCTGAAGCGCAAGCATTAGTCTGGTAGCAGGGATACCATGTACCTTGTACCCCTAAAGCTCCCCAAAACACTAGGGGGCCCTATGAACTCAAGACCTGTCAAGTGGACTTGCTCCTCGGTGTCGTAGAGGCAGCGTGGCCGCCACAGAACAGCTCTCGGCCGTGGACTTGAGATTTGAAGGAGGTGCAGGGATGGGCATGGCCACCAGGGGGCGCCATGGGACCAGACAGGAGCTCAGTGAGGTTACTAGGAGGTGCAGCTGGTCAGCAACCAGGCGGTCACCCAGGCCACCCCACCCAGCCCTCCTGCACCCCAACGCTCCGGCACACACAGCCACAGCATCCTGCTTTATTGCCCTTGAGAATCCAGAGAAGTCAATAATTTAAGGTGCTGAGAACAGGGGCCGCAGAGGAGCTGGCCCAGTGGTTACAAAACAAGCCCACAGCAGGCCAGAGGGGCTGAGAGCCACATGGGCGCGGGGCATCTCTGAGCAAGAGGTCCAGGAACATGGCAAGATCAGAGACAGACGTGGGCCAGAGACAGAATGTCTGAGAGATACAGACTCAAAGGTGTGAGCCAAAGACAAAGACAAATGTGAGGCAGGCAGAGATGGGGGCAGACGCAGAGAAGTCAGAGACAGATGTGCAGGTGAAAGGCTCAGGTCAAGAGGCACTGGGCTGCAGGGACCACGATGCATTTGGTGTCAGACAAAGGCAGGGAGCAGAGGTCACTGGAGGAAATCAGAGGAGGCCTTGGTGATACAGGACAACAGGCCCAGTGGATGGGGCGCCCAGCACACGGCGCCGGGACAGGGAACACAGGATGAGGGTCTGGAAGGCACTGCAGCCAGGAGGCGGCAGGCAGAGGCCGGAGTCCTGCAGGGGGTGTCCACCACGGCAGTGCCCACGGCAGCTGTGACCACGGCGCCTGAGCTACATGACACAGCACCTGGTCTTGTGCGTTTGGGGGCCCCGGAAGCGCAGTCTCTGTTTGGGCCGATACTTTTCCAGGTAGGTGAGCTGCTTGCTGTTGATGGCGCCACGCCGCTTCCTGGAAGGGGGCGGGGGACGACTGGGAGTGAGTGGGCAGGGAGACAGCCTGAGGGGTCCCGGGCAGGTCCAGTCCTCCTGTCTGCCCCCTCAGCCGCAGAGTGCTTTCTAGATCTGGGAGGGGAGGGCGCGGTGACTCATTCTCTCCTGCAGGCCCACTCTGGCCTCCATCCCACGGGCCAGTCCCCCCAACACGCACACAGCCCACCCTAGGCAGGAGCTCCTGGGGACAGGGATGGGGGTGACTGTGGTATGTGGGGGTGTGTATGTGTGGTGGGGTGAACATGGTATGTGTACTGTGTATGTGTGGTGGGGGTGGCGAGCGTGGTATCTGTATGTGGGGTGTGTATGTGGGGTGTGTGTCGGGGGGCTGAGCGTGGTATGTGTATGTGTGAGGTGTATGTGGTGTGTGTAAGGGGGGCTGAGTGTGGCATGTGTATGTGGGGTGTGTGTGGTAAGCGTGGTACCTGTATGTGGGGTGTGTATGTGGGGTGTGTGGTGAGCGTGGTATGTGTACATTGGGTGTGTGTCTGTGCCATCTGTGATTCTGGGGTTTGTGTGACAATGAGGTGTGTGAGTGATGTGGGGGAACGGGTGTGTGTGTGTGTGTGTATGTGTGTGTGAGCCTCTGCACGTGGTGTGACCGCATGCGCCCTAAGAGGACACACCTGTGGTCCAGTCAGCCCGGGAGGCCGGGTGTGAAGACCCTCCACTGACAGTGCACAGGAAAGCCCTGTTCGTGCCCGCCAGAGACCAGACCTGTGAGGCGCGGCGAGGCCTCGGGAGACACTGGGCCTGCGGGGCAGGGCACAGCCCAGGGCTCTCTAATCCTGACCCCACCCACTCACGGACCGGCCACTCACTGCCGGATGAACTGGATGGCGTCCTCATACTTCATGCCGCTCTCGATCAGGGCCAGCGCCACGAGGACTGGGGCTCTGGGGAGGGGGACAAGCCTGGTTAGGGGGCCCAGACACCCACACTCCCTGCAGTGTTGACCCTAAGGCTCAGCCGCCAGCAGGACGTGAAGGACCAGGCAGGAGAGCCAGGCGGAGCGAGGGGCAGGGGTCTCGCCTGTCTTCTAAGGGGGCTTTGACTCCCAGCCTGGCGGCCCACTCCCCGCTCAGTGAGGGTGGGTGCAGCGTCTGGGGCTGGGCAGCAAAGCATTTCCCCCACAAGAGCCCCTCATGCCCTCTGCAAAGGGGTCACAGGCACAGTGGAGCCACACGGGGGACGTCAGGGCACGCACCGTCCCAGGCCAGCCACACAGTGCACGGCCACGCAGCTGCCAGGGTCATCGCAGAACTTGGCCTTGAGCAGGCTCAGCCAGTCTTCCACGACCTTCCCAGGTGGAGGGGCCCCATCATCAAACGGCCAGTCCTGGAGGGAGAAGCAGCTCAAGGGCCCCAGCTCAGAGGTGGGTGCAGGGCACCTCAGTAGCTCAGGGGCGGGGCGCAGGGAGCCTGGGTGACTCGGGAGTGGAATTCAGGGTGCCTCAGTGGCTCAGGGTGGGGCGACCAAGGACATTTGTCATAACTGAGAGCCAAGGGTGCAGAGGGGACCCTGAGGCCCAGTGGAGAGCCGGGGCTGCAGGGTACCAGATGGTCAGGGAGACTGCAGAGGGCCAGGCCAGGGCCAGGAGAACTAGGGACACAGCTGCAGGGCCTCTCCCGAGAGTCTTCTTGGGGCCCCTGGAATCCACCTGGCGCATCACACACCTGTCCCCAGCACCCTCTGCTGGGCGACAGAGCCCAGGGGCCAGCCTGACACAGAGGCCCTGCCTGTGGGGCGCTGACTTTGCCTACACCCTTGGGTGGGCGCTGGCCCACCTGAGAGGGCCGCTTCCCCAGGCTGGGTGGGCATCTAAGTGTCATTTTCCACTTGGACAGTTACAACAGCTCCAATCTCAGGTCTGCCAGCTTTTCAGTGTGGCTGAAACCTGAGCCTTTGTACCTGGAGAGGCACCCATAGGTGGACTCCCTCCCAGCGGCAGGGCCACACTCACCCCCACCAGATCCTACCCACTGCAAACCTCAGTGACTGACAGCCCTGCCAACAAATTACATCAGCAAAACCCCACACACGCCGCCGTGACAGCAGCAGTGTCAGCAGCAGAGCCCCCAGTGATGACACAGGACCCCAGGTCATCAGCAGAGCCCCCCAGTGAAGCAGCAGGACCCCCAGGGACGACACAGGACCCCCAGTGATGACATGGGCCCCCAGGGATGACACAGGCCCCCCAGGGATGACACAGGCCCCCAGGGATGACACAGGCCCCCCAGTGAAGCAGCAGGACCCCCAGGGATGACAGCGGGCCCTGCACCGATGCCTGTACCACCCAGGCCTCACCACCACAGTGATGCCGTCCTTCTCCAGGGGGGCCTTGTCGTAGGTCACCTCACACACACGCACCACAGTAGTGGCTCCATACTTCTTCAGGTCCTGCTGGCAAGGAGACAGGGCTCAGCGACCAGGGCACTCTTAACTAAGACCCCCAGATCCCCAGGTGGGGCCATGTTCCTTCAGACCCCAGGGCAGAACCATGTCTCTCTCCTCAGGTCCCCAGGACAGGGTTTGTCCCCTCAGGCAACATGGTATGGCTATGTCCTCTCACGCTCCCGGGCAGGGCAGTGTCCCCTCAGGTTCCCAGGGCAGAACAGTGTCCAGTCAACAAGACAGAAAGGCTCTGGTGTGTGGGCAAGGACCACACTGGTGAGTCTAGGTTTGGCCAGGACCAAGGTGACACCAGGTCTGAAAAGACCTATCCCAGGGCCCCTCCCCTTCAGCAACAAATGGACACCTGGCCCTTGGTCTCCACAGATATCGGTCCCCATGACCAGTCAGCCCCTCTGCAAACAGAGCCCCTCAGTGACCCTAGCAGCCTGGTCTGGTCTATTCCAGAGGGTCCCCCTGGCCTGGGGCATGAGAGAGCCCCACACTGGTCAAGGGCAGAGCCCAGAGGACAGGAAAGGCCTGCAGGAAGCCACACCCCAACTCCTAGTCAAGGCCAAGACTTCACAGCCAGGCTGGGTATAAATACCCAGCTAGAGGGGGGTTCCTCTCCGCAGGAGGCCACGTGCAGGGCTCCCTGCCGCCCAGCAGCTATTCTTGGCCTCACCTGTCATAGGACAGGGACACCAACAGTGGACAGGCCCAAGCTATTCTGAGAATGAGAGTGGAGGAAGGGAAGTGCATGGGCTCTGGAGGTGGGGACACCCAGATCCTGCAGCCAGGCAAAGAGCCACTGCCAGGTCACATCACACATCAGTCCTGAGGAAGGTCATGTGCTGAGTCCTGGAGGTGGACACATCTGAGTCCTAATGACACTGAGCCCTCACCCTGTCACACACTGAGTCCTGACAGTGGCCACACAGCCCTGAGAGTGGCCACACGGCCCTGATGGTGGCCACACGGCCCTGATGGTGGTCAAGTGCCGAGTGAGCCATGACCCCACCATCATACACTTGACCAAGGCCCCAGTGGGAGCCCTCACCGTGGTCACACTTTGAGCCCTGACTTTCTCACACATCAAGCATCTTGCCACGTTGACACTGACCCTGTTACACTCTAAGCCTTGATCCTGTCACACACACGCTCCAATCCCAGTCACAGGCTAAGCCTTGAACCTGATCATGCTTCAAAGTCTGGTACCGATCATCTGACGAACCCCAATGCAAGTCACACACTGGATCTTGATCCCGTCACAAACTGAATCCCAAATCTAACCATACACTGAGCCCGAACAGCAAAGGCTGAGTCGTAGCCTAATCACACACTGAGCCCTGATCCCATCATATACTGAGCCTTGATCCTGGTCAAGCACTAAACGCTGACCACCATCATATCCTGAGCCCTGACAGCCAAACTCGGAGACCTGACCCTCGCTGCATACTCAAGTGTCCCCCTGTCATACTGAGCCTGAGTCTGGCCACACGCTCAGCCCTGACCCTAGCTGTCACACTGTGATACTAAGCCCTGATCCCATCATATCCCGAGCCCTGACCCTGACCTCAACTACCACCCTCCACCTGTCCACCCCATCCTCATATACCTGGCCCTTCCTCTCTGCCCTGCCCATCGGCTCAGGGTTGGTCTGGCCAATGGGCAGCTCCAGTGCTCACAGCCCGGCCTACCCATGCTCTCACCCGTCCCTGCCTCTGTCCCTGCAGCGTGTGTTGTACAGTCTCCAGTGCTACCCACTCTGCATCACCCCAGTCACCTGCGGTCACCCTGTGACCCTCGGACACTGTGGTCAGGGAAGCTGAGGCTTGGCCCACTGGTCCTCAACTGCTCCGGCTGCCCGGCCCCACTCACCTCAATGAAGGTGCTGAGCGTGGCATTGGTGGGGTTGTGCGTGATCAGAAAACGCATATTCTTGTAGCTGACCTCCACGGGCGCGGGCCGGTTCATGCGTGCCATGGCCCCAACCCACAGGGCAGGACCCACAGAGGACCCCAACCCAACAAGAGCGAGGTCCTTGTGTTTGCCTGAGACAGAAAACGTTTAAACCCGCCCGGCCCAGGCCCCGCACAAATATTGTGCAAATACGGAGAGAGGGCTGAGCAGTGTTTGAACAGTTTGAAAAAAAAGAAGAAAAAAAGAAACTTTTTTTACAAAGAAAGAAACAAAACAGTCCTCTCAAGGTCAACCAGGCAGCCCTGGGCCCTTTCAGAGCTGGTAACAACAAATCAGAACCCAAAGCAGAGGCCACTGAAACCAGCAAAGAAAACGCCAAACATCAGAGCAAGTGCGTGGGCGCAGCCCTGTCAGAGTGGCCGTGTGGTGTCCGAGCGCCTGCGGCTGTCTGTCTGCATCAGTGGCCGCAGGCCCAGCGGCACAGGAAGGAGGACCGTGAATGCAGAGACCAACCGTCTGCGCTTCAGGTTGGTGACAGCAGCGGCGAGGTGGCTGGCAGGTGTGTGGCGGTGTCGGCGTGTGGGGTCACAGTCACGTTACTCCATCCGGGCACGGGGAGTCCAGGAGTGGGGCAGGGGGCTCGGCAGGCAGAGCCGGCCCCGGGCCGGGCAGCAGCGGCCAGGGGCAGGCGAGGGCAATGGTGAGGGCCAGTGGCACGGCCTCCTCAGCAGCGGCGGGCACAGTAGCTGTGCTGGGCACGGCAGTACTCAGTGCCCCTGTCCACAGGCCTCTCCATAGGCACCAGGGTGGTCAGTGGTAGGAAACGTCTGCAGAGGGGACAGAAGTGGATCAGGGTGCTCGTGTACCTGTGAGGGGCTAGGACCCTCCCTATCCTGCCGCCACAGCCCCCGCGGGTCCTGGGGCCTGCGGTGAGGACCACCAGCTTCTGAGCAGGTGTGTCAAGGACCTGAGCTGGCCTGTTGTGCCATCACCACACACCTCAGGACAGTGGGGCAGGGAGAGGGCACTTTAGTCCACGACCCGGAAGGTCAAGCTGTGGGACACGCACACACACACTCCTGGGTGAACTAATACACTTGTGTGTACACTCACTGTCAGTGTGCAAGCATGCACACACATCCCCACCTCACACACCATCACACAACACGTGTGTGTGTGTATGTCCTCACAAACCCTCAACTCACACACATGTGTGCACTCACACACAGGTGTTATCACACACACAACACACAGTCACACACACACAACCACACTCACGTGATCACACATGTGTGCTCCACATGCACTCACATGATAAACACACACGCAATCTCACACGATCACATGCTCACCCGCTCTCGCACACACATTCACACACTCTCTTGCTCTCTCTCTCACGTGACCACACACACAGCCTATTGAACCCCATCATGGGGACCGTGACTCTGTTGGTGACAACAGAAGCCAAGTCCTAAGGCTGCCCCCAGGACAGTCACCCCTCTACCCGGTGGGGTTCTCTGATGGGGAGAAACTCTGAGCCCAGGTGGCCACAGAGTAGCCTGTCCTCTGAGAAGTGGGGGCAGGCTGCTGGGCACTGCTCACAGCCCTGTACCCTCAATGGTTGCGAGCTCCACAGATAAACAAGCCTGTTCTGCCCCTAGGACCTTAGAGAAACCCGGACAGGTGCCCCCTGTCAAAGGACAGCAACAGGTGGCCAGGAGTGGGGTCACAAGTGACAACACTGAGTAGGAACATGACCAGGAAGCCACATGCCCTTGCATGCCTATCTCTGCCTTAGGGCCAGGCCCCAGGAGGGAGGCCCTTCCCACCATGCACAGGCTGGAGGGCCAAGCCCCACTGGACTCTGTGGACCTCACTCTCCCCACCAGCACAAGGCGCCACACAAGGCCCACCCCGGCCTCCCTGCCGCTGCTCCCCAGCTAGGGATCGAGCCAAGCCCCAGCCCACCCCCATCCACTCCCAGGCCCCCTCTCTGCACCCCACTGCTCTTTCCCATCTCACCTTTTACCTGTACCCCAGCACCCCACTTCCAGCCTCCACACCTTGCTCCCCAGGTTGTCCCACAGTGAGAGCGGTCCCCTCACCGTCCCCTCCACACCTCACTGGCTCAGTGCAGGCACCACATACACGAGCTGAAGACAGGGGTTGAGAGGGGTGGGAAGCAGCAGGGATTCTGCCCTGCTTCCGAGGGTCCAGCCTGCGCCCCAGCTTGGCCGCTCCTCTGCTCTGAGAACCAGTGAGCACAGCCACTGCTGCCTGGGAAGATGCCCCAACAACACAAACACCTCCCTGGTCCCTGGGGCGGAGGTATGTGCTGTTTACCAGGAGAGGAGAGCCTGGAGGCCCAGCGCTCCCTGGGGCCAGCCATCCTCTGGGCAGCACACGGCCCTGTGGCCCTGTCTAGCCGTCCTAGGTCTCTGCCCTGCCTCAGGTTGAGAGGTGAAGTCACTGAGCCACCGCCCACTGCAGCCTGAGCTTGTGGCCAGTCCTGCGGGTCAGGCTGGGCTGACTTGTCTCTGCCAAGTCTGGGCCCCAGAACCCCACATGCTCAGCCCCTTAGCCAGGACACAGAGCAGCCAGGGATCAAGGAGGAGGGGCGTCAGCCCACGGTGCTTCACTGACCACAGCTAGTGCTCACCCCGGTCGATTCAGTGCTTCTCCCACAGGCAACCATGGCCAGCAGGCATCCCACCCCCCACGGCCCTCAGGGCTACGCATAGCATCCTGGTACCACAGCACTCCACCTTCTGTGCCCATCACCTCACTCTCCCCATCTGTTAAATGGGGCCAAGCCACCCCCACATTGAGTAGCTCTGTTTCCAGTCATTGTTCTGGCCTCTGCAGCCACCAGCTCTCATTCATGACACCAGAGCCCAGAGAGAAGGGCCACACCTGCCTGGGGCCCAGCCCTGGTCCCTTTCACCTGTCACCTTCTGCATGGACCTGCTGCTTTTGGGAGAATAGTCATGCTATCAAGACCCCAGACAGGTGCCAAAACACATACAAGCACACACACATAACACATGTATACGCACAAACACATATATACATATATGTGCGTGCACACATAGATCCATACATGTGCACATACAGACATATATGGACATGCATACACATATGCACGTGCATGCATACAGGTGTGCCCGCACTCATACACACGCATATATGCACGCACATATGTACCACACCAATATATACACACATAGATCATCACCTGTACATACATTTACATACATGTGCACACAGGAACATGCACACACTTCTGTGTGCACGTAAAACATATGTGCACCACGCACATACACACATATATATATGCAGGCAGGAAGACAGGTGGGAGGGCAACTCTGAGGTGCGGACCGAAACCCAGATGAGTGCACATGCACACACACGCGTGCACACAAAGGCGCGGAGAGAGGAGGACGGCTCTGTGAGGTGCAGGATGGAATCCCGAGATAGGTGTGTGTGTGCGCGCACACACATAACATACACACACACACACACACACACAGAGGCGCGGAGAGAAGAGGAGGGCTCTCTGAGGTGCAGGGTTGGAAACCCCATGCGCTCCCTAGATGGGGCCCTGGGTGACGTTGCGGGGAGTGGGGGAGACTAGTGTCCCGTCCTGGAGTCCCATGGGGGCAGGGAAGGCAGGAGCTGCGGAGCACGTGGGCTGGGCGGGTTCCAGAGTGCCCGCAGGGACTGGTGCGTGGCTGGAACCCCCTTGGGGGCCGTGCCTCGTGATGCCAGAGCGCCGGGCACCGACTGGCCCTCCCTGGAGTTCCGAGGAGGCAGCCCTTCTCCAAAGGACAGTGTTCTTGCTCCGCCCGCCCGTGGGCGCCGCTTCCTCCCGGAGCTGGGGCTGGGGGTCGCAGGAAGCGCCCCC